CTATTAGTATAGTTCTTTAAAGATGAGTCGTGCACTTTCCGAAAAGTGTTGAAGATAGTCGCGAAAGATGGAGCCTTTGTTTACATTTTTGAAAAGTATTTGATTTTGCTACGAAATCATCTTAAGATATACCAGGTTCTTTTAATTTTGCTTTTAAGGACAAGATGTCACAAAGCACTCCAGAAAGGGTATGTTGAGCTATTTTATTTTTTGTATTGCACAGGATTCTAACATTATGTCTCCATAGAGAACACCAAGAAGTAGTCGCGCTGCGACACCTGGATCAAGAAGAAGGTCAAAAACACCAGTACGAACACCAAGAAGAAGACGTTCTACAATCGTTTCAGCTAATTTATTGACTCCAAGAAGGCAAAAGCGGGTTAGTACAACACCCCAGAAGACACTTCAACTACTATCAAGAGTTTTGGCAAAAGAGGCAGAAGAACATGAAAAAGTAACAGGTCCACCACCACTAAATCCACCTCTACCACAATCAATAACAAGTTTTCAAGAAGATGGCACACCTGAGAATCAATTCCAGTCAGATCAACAACAAGATAATCAATCAGACATTGCACATACACCAGAACTTCAGCTTCAACAAGAATCTCCAGATCCTTTTGAATTTGATTTCCATGATGATAAAAATATTGAAGAAGATCTTCTACAATCTAACTTGGATGGTTCTATAGAGGATGTCGAACTTAGAAGGAGACTGTCATTCAGAAATAGTGGGCAATTTGGACATCAAGGACTATCTGATATAGCTTTACCAGTTGGAATAATGCCTGATGATCTTCTAGATTCTGGTCCATTTTCTGATCCATTTGCCCAATTGTCAGATCAAGAGGACCAGCCTTCAGCGAAGGCACCTGATGGTAACCCAACTTATCACTATTCACCAACTCCAGAAGAAGGTGATGACATACAGAATCCAACACCACAGATTATCAAAAAGCAAAAACTACAACATATTTCAAGTGGATCAACTAAAATTATACGGCGTTCTAAAGAATTCAGTGTTCCAAGTAATAAGAAACTTCAAAAATTTGCACAGACATTCACGAAAAGAAAACTTAGTAAAGAAGCTCTTACAACTTTGAGTCAAACTAGTGATCAGTTTTTCAATCAAATATCCTCTGACCTTGCGGCTTATACAAATCATTCTAAAAATAAGGAAACATTGAACATCAAAACAATATATTTATTACTGAAAAGACAAAGACAAGTTACATCTATACAGTCTTTATTGGAATTAGCGGATGAAACTTTACCTCTCGAAGATGTGATTGAAATACAACGGAATTTACATAAGCTCCAAAAATAAATTTATTACAAGTTATGAATATTTATATATTTATTTACAAGTCTGTAGCAATTATATAACTAACGATGCGGCCCTTGAACTTTTGATTTCAGCTTGTCTATTCTTGACAATTCGATATAATTCGAAAATAGAAGCTGGTGTAATACCTTGAGTTCTTCTTGCTTGGCCAATTGTTTCCGGTTGAACACGGTTCAAAATATCAATACATTCAGTACTCATTGACTTCATGGTTGTATAATCAAAATTTAAAGGTAATAACATTCCTTCATCAGATTGGAAAGCTTTAATGAAATGTGATTGTTTGTTAACATATGGAGAGTAAACACCTTCAATAGCAACTTTTTGTAAGATTCTTTCAGGTATTTTTTGGAAACTTGAGCCAATATGTGGTATTAAATCATGAATTTTAACACCAGTAAATCTTAACATGTCATAAGCAGTTTTTTTATTACTATCATTTCCAACAGTTATTCCTAATGCTTCACTCCATTTATATCCTGATAATGAGACTGATCTCATTTCATCAACCAAGTTTAACATTGTAATTTTATCTGATGAATATCTATCCCATCTTTCATCCTTCACCACACCTAATTCTCTACCTAATTCTGTTAATCTCAAGTCAGCATTATCAGCTCTTACACTAATTCTGAATTCAGATCTTGAAGTAAACATTCTATATGGTTCTTCGACACCTTTTGTTATTAAATCATCAATCAAAACACCAGTATATGCTTCTGATCTTGAAAGTTTTAATTGTTCTTTTTCTTGATAACTTAAACCAGCATTTATACCAGCTACACATCCTTGTGATGCAGCTTCTTCATACCCAGTAGTACCATTGATTTGTCCAGCCAAGAATAAACCTTTGACTAATTTAGTTTCTAAAGTTTGACGTAATTGTCTAGGATCAACATAATCATATTCAACACCATAACCAGGTTGTAACATCTTAACATTTTCTAAACCTGGAATCATTCTCAATAATTGATGTTGAATCTCTTCTGGCATTGTTACAGAAATACCATTTGGATAAACAACATCCGTGTTTAATCCTTCAGGTTCTAACCAAATCTTATGACTATCCTTTTCAGGGAAACGTATAATCTTACTTTCAATAGAAGGACAATATCTTGGACCTTTAATAGTTTCTCTGATATGAATAGATTTATCTAAATTTTGTCTTAAAAGATTGTGTAATTCTTCAGTAGTTCTTGTTCCATGACAAACAAGTTGATCTTCAATTGATACTTTATCATTCATATAACTCATGGTTTGTGGGGGATCATCACCATATTGAACTTCTAAATTTGAATAATCAATGGTTTTCGATGATAATCTTGGTGGTGTACCAGTTTTCAATCTTCCTAATTGAAATCCTGCATCTTTTAAAGTTTTAGATATTCCAAATGTTGCCTTTTCACCAATTCTACCTGCTGGGAAAACTGATAATCCGATATGAATTTCACCTCCAAGGAATGTACCTGTTGTTATAACAACTCTTGATGTTTTGAAAATTCTACCATCTTCTAATATTATACCTTTTATAACATTTGGTTCTTGTTGATTAGAAGTTTCTTCAATAATAATATCTTTAACTTGACCTTGTAATAAATTTAAATTTTCATAATTTGATAATTCTTTTTGCATTTCAGCAAGATATATATCTCTATCTATCTGAGCTCTTGGTCCCCAAACTGCTGGACCTCTTGAACTATTAAGTACTCTAAATTGAACCCCAGCTTTATCAACAATTTTTGGTGCAACACCATCTAATGCATCAACTTCTTTTAATAGAGTACCTTTTCCAACCCCACCCATAGAAGGATTGCAAGAGCATGTACCTATTTTGGTTAGATCTTGTGTTATCAAATAAGTTGGAGTACCACTTCTTGCTGAACCAGTTGCAGCTTCACATCCAGCATGACCACCACCTATCACAACAACTGGTAATTCTTTAGATCCGGATAATGATGCTTGAAGTTCTGCATTCAATGATATATGACGTTTTTGAATTCTCTGTATTGGCCTAAATCTCTTTAAAGTACATCGTATTGACATCATTCTGTTGGTACTTTATACAGGATTTTGATAAAAGACAGTTATCAAAAATTATGCAACTGTTAACAAAATTGATGATTTGATTACTTATACTTTTTATTTTTCTGCAAAAGAATTTCAATTTGGTAAAAGCAGCAAAAAACCGTTTTATTGATGAGTGTTATGTAATCCATTAAGTAATCCTTTTCCATAAAATTATATATTGATTTTAAAATATTCAACAACATTGTTACACCTGTTTTGTATAGAAGTTTATATGGTAATTCTTATTTAGGAATAAAAAATGATCTCAAATAATCAGCACTTTTTCGATTAATTTGAAAATTTTGGAAAATACTTAAAGTGCGTCACATATATTTTAATTTCATTTCAAAAATTTAAATTAAAGAATTTCCTAAAATTTGAAACTACTTTTAATGCTTTAAAATGATATTCATACTATTATTTGAGTCTTTTCAAACAATTCAGTGCAGTTTTTTATTCCTAAATTGAAGTTTTAAATGATTTTAAATGAATTTTCAATCAATTACACTTTTCCGAGCCGGCTTCACAGAGGAATATATGCATAATTCCGATATGCTATAAGTACAAATGATAGCATTGTTTGTTGACTGAAAACTCGTTGATAAACATAATTCGAAGGTTACTATGATGTTACATACAATTAATAATTTAAGAACAAATAAGCTTATCATTAACATAATTCTAGACAACATTGAATAAGCAAAATTAGTTGTATCCTTATTATGATGTAACCTATATAAAAAACTATATCATAAAAGATAAATTTAAAGACAAAAACCTAACCCAACCGAGCCCATAAATATTCGAGATAACCCCATATACACCAATACCGGTTATATAAATAACAATCCAAATAAAACCATAAATAAAAAAACACTATTAATTTCAAAGTGGACCTGCCACAATAATTTCAATGAAATTAAATAGAATAGAATAGAATTTAAACAAAATATCCACCAATTCTTGAATACTAAACAGAATTTTCAAGAAGTGATTCACCCATTGAAGCAAGACCAAAAAAGGTCAATCCAGCTCCAAAAATCAAACCAGCAAATCCACTTAAAAGATGAGAAGAAATTTTATTATTTGAATCAGTCTTCTTCTTCTTTAATAATGGTTGTTCATCAGATAAATTGATTTCATTTTTGAGAGTTGATTTATCAATACCATCTGCGTTTCTTGACTGGATATTGTAATTATCATGTTCTTCTTCTTCTTCTTGATCATTTAATTCTTCATTAAAATCACTATATTGATCAATTTCAGATAATGTTTCTTCAATCTCATCAAATTTTCTCTTATTTTTGGAAAAATCTAATTCTTGATCTTGATCCAATTCATCTAACTCTTGATCTTGATCCAATTCATCTAACTCATTTAATTCATCATCAAAAGCATCAAGATCTGTAAATTCAACATTTTCATTTTCAAAAACAACACTTTCATCTTCACTAAACTCAGGAATTTCTAAAGTTTTATCCAAATGAATTTCATTTTCTAATTCTGATTCATAAGAATCAGAGATATTTCCTTCATCATCATGATATTTTAAAAAATCATATTGATTGTTATTATCGAAAACTTCTTCAACAGAAGAGCTCAAAGAACCATCCATTTCATTAGCATTAACTTGATCAATTATTGGTTTAGTTTCAATTAATGATGGAACACGTTTCAATTTATCAACAATTAAATCAAAAGAATCATTATTATTCTTTAAAATACCAATTTGTAATTTGATTCTTGTTTCTTTAATAGAAGCATTTTGCCATGAATTATCAATAGAATAATAAACAGTATCATGATTGATAGTATTGGATTCATCAGTTTCATCAGAAGAAGAAGAAGTATCAGTATTAATGAATTGATTTTTATTTAACAGATCAACAAGACCAACAATTTCATTATTTTTTAAACTAAATCTTGTATTTTTTGGTAATCTTTTATCATTCCAAACAACACCATGTTGAGAGCCATTATCAATGAAAACCAGTGAAGGATAACCTTGAGATGAGATTTGATCAAAATTAATTTCAATATAAGCATGAATTTTAGATACAGTTCTTTCATCAAAATATAAATTATCAATTGATTCAACTCTTTGATTATCATCCCCACGACTTGATCTTCCGATTGGAATTCTAATTAAACCAGCTTGTGATTTATCCAAATGGATAATTCTGTGTGTAATTTCTGACTTCATTGTATGTAATTGTAGTATCAACTGAGCAATATTACTTCATATAACAAAAGACTATTGTTCTGATCAATATATATAAAGTTATAAAATTGATGTATTTTTGTGTTTTTGCCACAATTTATAAATTTCTTTATCTTTGCGCGCTGAAAATCAAATTTGTGCCTAATTTGTTAAATTGTCACAATTTGTGCTGTTTTAAAATGGTAAATTAGTACAAAAATGTTACGAAAATGGTAATTTGAATGTATTTAATGAATATGGAAAGGTATAACTAAAATGGTATTTGTCTGTAGTTCTCACTATAGTCTAGCTGGTTTTATTTGTACACAATTGACTGATTTTCTCCAGATCATTAACGGTTAAATTACAACGTCAACGGGTATTTAAAACATCAATATTAACAGTAAATCCTCCGTTCAAAAGTACACTGGAAGATAGCCATCACACTATATAATAAGCACAATCAAACCCATTAATACCCCTATATATACAAACACTCTCAATCATTATTTAAAACACTTAATTAACTAACACGTCTTTTCCCATGTGTTACCCTCCATTTATCGTTACTATAGTTTCAATTTTTTTTTTTTTTTTTTTTGCACCAACTAATTTCTTTCAAAGTCACCCTCGAGAAGAAGTACACCTGAAAGAGTGAAAGTATTTAGTATAAGTAGATTTAGACCTTTTCATTTGTTTTGAAATACATCACCATCGTTGGACTCAATATTATAATCATTCAGTGATCATACCAATAGCTTTCCCTTTCCTTTAGGAACACTAAAGACACTATTTCCACAGATAATATATCAATATATACGTCCCAGTTGTGTCTCATCCATATATAAATACAGTACCCATCAAAATATTTTTATCATGTCTTTAAATTCACCTCAGATACACAATAATCAATATTTATCCAAACAATCATATTATAATTCACCACTTGATAATAATTTCCAAGATCCAACTACATCTTCTCAACATCAACAACATTTCCAATCAAATACAAATAATCAAAATATAACATCTTCTTCAACCGGATCAAATGATTCTCAACAACGTCAAATTCAACCTCCAATACCTCAAAATTCAAGACCACAATCTTATGAAGAATTTTCAAATAATTTTTCTTCAATAGCCGGTTTAAATTTAAATTTTAATTCAAATACAACAACTGGTTCATCAAATTCAAATCAACCTTCAGAATCTTCAAATTATATAACAACTCCAAATGATAATCAATCTCAACCACATTCTTCAGGTCCTGAATCAAATAATACTTTAGAACAAACCCCTCCAACAACAAATACAACCAATACAACTACAACAACAACAACCACACAATCTCAAGCACCTGTTGAACAACCTTTTTATGTTAATGCTAAACAATATCATCGAATTTTGAAAAGAAGAATTGCAAGAGCTAAATTAGAAGAAAATTTAAAAGTTGCAAGAGGAAGAAGACCTTATTTACATGAATCAAGACATAAACATGCTATGAGAAGACCAAGAGGTCAAGGTGGTAGATTTTTAACTGCTGCTGAAATTGCAGAAAGAGATCGTTTAGAAAAAGAAAAAGCAGATTCAAATGGGAATGATGATAATTCAAATAATATTGATCAATCAAATAATCAAAATCAAAATAATTCTTTAAAAAATGAAACTATTTCAAATCAAGCTTTTAATTAATTATTTTTTTCAATAATTTAATTTTTCATGATATTACGTTATTTGGTGTTATTTCGTTTTTCTTATGTGTTTTTTTTCTTTCTTCAATTCTTTCATGTCTTTATAATATTTTTTACGACTTTGGAGTTTGTCTCTTGTGGAAATTGTATATATATAACTGTATATATATTTCAATAATGTTAACGCTTTCAATGAATTTGTTATGAATTGTAAGGGATACTACATATCACATTAAAATATATCAATATATATATTGACAAAAGATACACTCACCAATCAATAAGGAACAACACCTGCTAATTGTAACAACTCTTTAGTCAATTCAGGCTTAACATTTGGTTCAGTACGTTGATAAGGATCTAATTCACCATTTGGTAAATAAGCTGGTAAATTTCTAGTATTAATATTATCATGAGCCCAATGTGTAGTACCATGCCATTTTTCAAAAGCTTGTCTTTTCTTGATTAAATTTTCCTCAGTTGCAAAATTTGCAGGTGAATATGAAATATAAGCAATAGTTCTAATATTATTACTATCATATTCTGGACCTGAACCATAATGAATTGTTCTTGAATCCCATAAAATTAAATCACCAGGTTCTGCAATAACTTTAACTTTTTCAGCTCCATTATCTAAAAACCATTGAAGTTGATCTTTTGAAATTTGAACATTATCTTTTGATTCCCAATTTTCTTCACCATATACTTCTTTAAAAAAATTTTCTAATAATTTATGAGAATCTTTATAAACAACTAATCCACCATCTTTTTCACCAGCTTCACTTAAATTTGCAATACCTTGAACACAACTTAATCCAGTTCTAAATGGTGATTGATCAACATGTGGCCAAAATTTAGGTTCAATTGAAGCATCTCTTGTTGGGAATGCAATATTTATAGCATCAAAACTAACTAATAATTCATTTGTACCCCATAATTTAGCAAATTTATCTTTAAAACCTGGATCTAATCTTATATCCCAAAAAAATTTTTCATGACAAGTTGAATGTTTACTATAAATATTATTCCAATGATGATCAGGTAAATGATTATCATTCCAAGTTGATTCATCATCAAGTTTCCAACCTTTATTAAAAGATCTAAGCCAATCAAAAATTTGATTTTGATAGTCTTGAGCTTTTTCTTTTGAAATAGCATTCTTAACAACAACATAACCATCTTTTAATAAATCATCTCTCCAATCACCATGTTTGGTATTTTCAATCTTATCAGATAACTGTTTGATAAGTGTAGTTTTTTCATTTTCTAAAGGATTACCTGATAACTTTAAGGTCTTGGTACCTTGTGTAATTGTATTAGTTGATACAGAAGCCATTTTTGAACGTAGTGATAACTTTTGATATTTGATATACTACCAATGAATTACATTCAAATAACTGTCCACATTCTATTCTTCCTTAATATAAATTATATTTTTGTTCAAAATTGATGTGGATTGTGGCTTAAGGGGGAAGCTTTATGAGTATAACTGTCGCGCATAGAAATACTTATTCAGAAGATAATACTAGGGAGAGAAAATATTGTGATAAAACTACCTTTATTTATACACGTTGATCCAACTGACTCTTTGAATCAATCTCCAATTGTTTGTTCCTTTTCGCAGTATGTTTCCTTGTGACATACCAGAAAATCCAGGCGAAGATTAAACCGAGAATATAAAACACCAAACTAACTTTGTAACCAATCTTGAAATGTGGAGCATCTTTAGTCTTGTAGATGGCTAGTGGTAAAAATGCATTAAATGTATATGTAAAGACATTTCCCAATGCGATATTCACTGTCTTGAGGTTTGGTTCATCATAGTAAACTTCTGCAAACCATCCCATAACCATAGTTTGACTAATGGATCCACTTCCAAAGATAAATGCAAACATCAATAGTTTGAATGGGATATCCCAAATGGAAAGTAATAGACACGAAAATATCCCAACTAATGCAGCAATACTAACCCACAATATACGATTCCCATTGATATCACTTAGCACAGCGTAGATAAACATAGTGACAAACTGAACAGCATTCCCAGCAGTAGGAATTATATTGATTTGTTGTACAGAATAAGTCCCCAAAGATTTTAAAAACAATGAGAAATATGAAAATGCATTACAACCAATAACTCCAAATACATAAAGTGCAACAAATAACCAAAGCTTAGGATTAATGGCAACTTCAAAAATTTGTTTCAAATTTAATGCTTCAGGTTTAACTCTACCCATTTTTTTAGCTCTTGCTAATGCAAATTGACGATCTTTTTTAGTTAACCATGGTGCTCTTGAATTTTGAGGAAAATCTGGTAAACAATAAAATCCAATAAATGCTACTGGAATACTAATAAACCCATCAACAAGGAAAACCCATTTCCATCCTGGTAATCCATATCTACCATTCATAGTTGTATAAACTCCTGCTTGGATATATCCGGCAAACATACTTGATAATGCAGATGTACCATCCAACATAAACATTCTTTTACTCATACCTTCAGTACCAAACCATTCACTAAGATACAGCAAAGTTAGTAGAAGAGACATAAAAGAGCTTTATGATATTAAAAACTCACCCAATTATTGACCCTAAGCCAGGGAATGAATTAGATTCAAGTATACCTTGGAAAAATCTTAAAACAAATAAAGTTTCTTTATTTTTAGCTGCTGCCATTGACATTACAATTATAGTCCATGAAACTTCAGTAAATGGTAAAATAAGACTTGGTCTAATATATTTCATTAATAATGACATTGGAACTGAACTTGATAAATAACCAATATTGAAAAATGTTGTTAATAAATTATAATCATTTGATCCATACATGTTTAAATCTTCCTTCATACCAGAAACATAAGCATTTTTAATATTTGTTTGATCCAAATATTTAATAAAACATGCAAAAATTGCATATATATGAATATATAAATCAATTTTAGCAATATATTTCCTTTCAGATGGTGGTGCATAAATTGGATCCCAAATTAATCCAATAATTTTTTGCCAAATTGATGCATTTGATTTATCTAATTTTTTATCATCTTCAAATGTTAAAATTGTATCAATATCATAAGGCTCATTATCAAATAAATGTTCATTAAGAGGATGTTCACCTTTAATTAAGAAAAAATGCTGCCATTTACTAAGTTTTTCTTCTTCAATAACTTTTTCTTCACCAATTGAATCAATATCAGCATTAATACTGATATCAATTAATTCTTCTTTACCCATGATTAGTAAATCCTTTATACAATAATATTGATTAACCTTGAACACATTTTGAGAATCCACATATTATCTTTACCCTTTTATATAAAAACTAGTAACACTGTATCAAATCTTGAAGCCACTTGTTTTTGAAAACTGTGATTAAACAAAACAACCATTATTCCTGGGCCACACAATATCTCTGATAAGATACCAGTCAGTAATACGCATGAAGCAAGCCAAAAAGCTTATTTAAAACTCTTGAGTCTCGATCTTGATGTAGAAGAAACCATGATAAGCTTCACCGATAATTCAAATCACCACGCAATGGTTTTCAAAGTCATATCACGTATACCATATATTCAGACGAAGCAGCACCAATATAGTCAAATGTACCACCATGACTTTATGATAGCAATAAATACAATGGCAATCGATAGACCCTAGGAATATCTAAATTGTGGATCTTTTCAAAACGAGCTGCGATTAATGATACCTGAATAGTAATTGAGCCGACTTTAATTGGGTACAGTTCGCGATCCAATATTATACTTACTACAGTAACAACATGATTTTACGGGTATAATTATACATACTATTTAATTATTGTAGATACATCTATAAAGCTAATGAATTTAATAATTTCAAATCATCTTGAGTTAATTGACTTTTAATTTGATTCAAGAAATTATTACCAGATTCAACATTTAATGTTTGTAAATTTTCAATAAAATATTTTTTACCACCATCAATATTATTAATTTGTGGTAATGGATCAAATGGTTTAGAACTAATTGTTGATAATCTTGAAAAATTTGAACCGAATGATGTGATTTCTTCCAATTCTAAATCAATTGTTTCTTCATGATCACCTTTAATATTGAAAATTGATTCACTTGTAATGATTTTAATTAAAATTTGGAATGTTGGAATTAATAATTTTGAATAATTACCAGAAATTAAAATTGGTGAACTAATTAAATTTGTTAACCCAACTATAACAATTTTTTTATCTAATAAATTACCAATATTTAAAACTGATGGTAATAAAAATTGTTCATAAATTGTTCCAAATATACCAGGTTGAACTTGTTCAATAAAATTAATAGCATAATCATTATTTTTAATAATTGTTAATTTGGAAATTAAACCAATTAATTTTTTAACATATTTTTCAGTACGTGAATTTTGTAATCTTTGTAATAATAAAATAGCAATTTGTTTTGTATATGATTGGATTTTAGAATCATCAAATTTTAAGATAATTGTTTCTAATAAATCAAATCCATAATTTTCATTTAATTTTGATGCAATTAATTTTTGGAAAACACCTAATAAAGGAGTTAACTCAGTGAAAACATTGGAATCAGCTGTAATAATAGCTTGTAATAATCTTGTAACAGCTGGGATATTACCTTTAAATTCCCAAACACTTGGTGATAGTAAAGGTTGAACTAATTGTTTATAAGTTTCAGGTAATGGGATTGAATTTGGTTTAACTTCTAATAAAAATGCAAAAATTTGGAATGTATAAGGAACAAATTCTTGAACATCATTACCCAAGATATTTAATAAAGTTGGTAAAACAATTTCTAAAAATTTTGAATAATTTTGTAAATAATTATTTTTAATCAAGACACTAATTGATTCAAATGTAAAATGTGAAAATTTTGGATTTGATGGATTTTTAGAGATTATAGAAACAATTGATAATAATTGTTCTAATATATCACCACTATAACTTGAAATTGTATCTTCTGCAATGATTAAAACCCTCATTACAGTTTTCATTAAAAATTCATTTTCAGCTAATTTTTCCGGAGTGGAACTATTTTGTAAAATTAATCTGAAAACATTTGATAATAAATCTTGAACAATTGGTTCAATATCTGACTTGTTAAACATTGGTTTTTTATTTGAATCATCTCTTAAAGATAAAATTCTTTCAATTGTTATAGCTGAATAAGTATATTCAACAAATTCTTTTGAATGTAAATGTTTTGTTAAAATTGGGAATGATTCTAATAATTGTTCCTTGGTTAATTGATTTCTAAAAATGAAAATATATTTAATTGCATCAACTTTTAATATTGGATGAATTTGATCATTTAATAAATCTGAAACAATATTATTTGTGAAAAATTGAACAACATCTAATAATAAATTTGTTGAAGAAATACCTGAATTGGTAACTGAACCTTTTGCAGCTAAAGCTGTGAATAAATATAAAGTTAAATCTTTAAATTTCCAATTTTCTGGAGAGGATTGATATTTAGATAAATATAAATTAATATAACTTAAAACAACTTCTGTTACTAATTGTTCATTTTTAAATTTCAATTCTCTTAAGAAATCAATTGAACTTCTTCTTCTTGTATCTGAATCTGAACCTTCTAAATCTCTTCTAATATATTCAATTGGATCATCTTCAAATAATTCTTCATCAGATTCTCTTACAGTTAAGTTTGGAATGATGATTTTTTCTGTAATTTCTTTTAAAGCTGTATCATTATTGAAAATTTCATAATGTTTTGGTAATTTTGCCACTGAAGTTAAAAATGATAATAGTTTACTTACAAGAATATCATATCTTGATTGTAATCCAGTAGTTGTTAATAAATTCCATGTACTTTGAACGAATTGAGGAATTAATTGATCAAATTCATCTTCATATCTTGTAGTGTATAATTGAATTAATTCTGAAATGGCAGTTTTAACTTTTGTAATTGTTTCAATTTCTTCATCATCGTCATCTTGAGGTTTTAATAAATCATTTGAATAAATGAGATATTTATTAATGATTGACATACCATCATTTAAATTATCTTCAAAAAATGCAGGGATATCTTGACAATTTAAATCATAATAAATTTTAATTAATAATAACAAGACATCAAATAAAATTAATAATTGAGCTTTGTTATTTTGATTTTGATCAATTTCTAAATCAACTTTTTTCAATAAATTTAAGAAAGGGACAGAAAATTTATCTAAAACTAATTGAATTTCCAAGAATAATGCATCAGATCTAAATAAAGGTCTCCATCTTTTAAAAATTGAATGTGCCACTGTTAAGACACCATAATTTGTAATCATATCATCTTGAGATAATTTATTAACTAAATCATCAATTAAAGTTGGCCATCTTTCAGGGAAATCTGAATCTGCAATGATTGAAATAGCTTCACCAATTTGAATTTGTAAATTATTTGGTAAAGAAATCATTAATGGAATAATTTCAGATTTAATTAATTCTGTATCAGGAATTAAATAATTACCTTCTTCATCAACCCATTTTCTCTTGATGAAATTTTTGAAAAACAAAGCAGCAGCTAATCTACTTGAATTTGATAAATTTGATGAAGCAACAACATGTAATAAAGATAATGCAAAACCTTGTGTAGATTCTTGAGATCTTAAGCTTTGTTCAGCTTGTTTTGAAGTGGCAGGGTTCAATGATTGTTCTAGCAGTTGTGCAATTGATTCCAAATCACTCATTGTGTAAAGCGCTGTGATTAACAAAACTTGAATTGAATATAATTATTTCAATATGGAATCCAATAAAGAAAAGAATTATTTCAATTTTTTTTAAAACAATTCGAAAAGAAAACAAATGGAAAGAAAAAAACACTTGATTATGTCATCTTGGATCAAGAATTGGGAAGAGCACGTACATTTCAAAACCGGTAAGAAGTAAACAAAAGGTAAAAATTAAAATTAAAAAAAAACAAAAAACATCAAGACATCATCAAGGGTTTATAAATCAAACGGTTTATCATATCATCGTATCACTGATTCCATAGCTAGTCTTTTGCTAGTGAATGCACCCAACAATGTATTCCCAACATCGTATGTAGTGGCTTTGGAATAGATTTTGATTGCACGAACATGTGTATCTTTCCCATGTTGATGATTAGCCACAATCAGTACTCTAACCAAGAAAGTTCTTAAGATCTGACCTTGATCAACCTCTGTAGGGAACCCTAAATGGACCCAACCTTCAGGTTCATTTAATTCTATACCAGTCACTTCCATCAAATCATGAAACCCATTACCAGCCAACACAGTGATCTTGGAAGGTGTATAAGATTCATCCAGCGCATAATCAATATATATGGAGATCTTGGAAATACTAACTTTTTTAGCGAAATGAATATCAATGTAATGTGGTTGAACTCCATCTGATTGCCAATAAGTGTCTGGTGATTCATCTCTTAACTTCATAACTTCGTTATCTTGTTTCTCTGATGATGCTGTCCACGACGCCAATGAGCCCACATCAACCAATCCCAATGTTTCCATATCTCTAATTCCTTGTTGATACATTGAATACCCGCCCAGTTGTTTGGAATCATCTTGTTCTTCATTTGAATCCTGTTCAATTGAATCTGACGCGTTCTCCAAAGCGTTTTCTGAAGCGTTTTCTGAAGCATTCTGGCTTCGATAAGACAGATCTTGCCATGAGTCTGACATATCCTGGTATTTTGAGTTCCACTGGGTTCCTTTTGGCTTCTTCAATTAAATCAACCGCTGTGTTCTTTTCAAATCAAATTTAATTTTTTGGTGTCAAATTTTGATAATCATGAACTTTTTGAATTCGCGATTCCTTTGGGCCTCCAGGAAATTGGAAAAAAACATCGTTTGATATTGAAAGAGTTGAGCGTTAAGCGCCTATAAATCAATCAGATATAATCAGTACTCACGCTCTTCTGTTCAATGTCCTCCAATCCAAATCCCACTTTCAGTCATTTGTTACCACTCAATGGTGAATGGAAACAAGACGTTACAAAATGGTTGAGTGAAGATGTTCCTTCTTTTGATTATGGTGGATATGTTGTTGGTGAAACTCCAGAAACTGCTACACTTTGGTGTAAACAAGAAGGTGTGATATCAGGTATTCCATTTGCTCAAGAAGTTTTCAATCAATGTCAATTACAAGTTGAATGGTTAGTTGAAGAAGGTGAATATTTAGAACCAAATGGTAAATTAGCCGTTGCTAAAGTTAAAGGACCTGCAAGAAATATATTATTAGCTGAAAGAACTGCATTAAATTTATTAGCTAGAGGTTCTGGTATTGCAACTCAATCTTTTAAAACTATATCATTAGCTCGTAAAGGTGGTTATAAGGGGATAATTGCAGGTACAAGAAAGACAACACCAGGTTTAAGAAGATTAGAAAAATATTCAATGTTAGTTGGTGGTTGTGATCAACATAGATATGATTTAAGTTCAATGGTTATGTTAAAAGATAATCATATTTGGTCAACTGGATCTATAACATCAGCTGTCACAAATGCAAGAAAAGTTTGTGGATTTGCAGTTAAAATTGAAGTTGAATGTCAAAATGAAATTGAAGCAAATGAAGCAATTGAAGCAGGTGCTGATGTTATAATGTTGGATAATTTTACAGGTGATGATTTGAAAATTGCCGCTCAAAATTTAAAAACTAAATGGTCAGGTATTAAAAGCTTCTTGTTAGAATGTAGTGGTGGGTTAAGAATTGATAATTTAAATGAATATTTAACTAATGAAATTGATGTTTATAGTACTTCATCTATTCATCAAGGTGTTTCTTATGTTGATTTTAGTTTAAAAATTGATCAAAAATAGAGCAAACGTGTATATATAAACTATATGATATTTATAAATATCTACTCCAATTTCTCATATCCATATGATTCCCAATTTGTTAAAACTTTATTTTTAATTTCTTCATCATAACCATCAAAATTACATGTAGTAAAATCAATATCTTGTTTATACTGTTTAGGAAAAATACAATTTGTAACAAATTTACCACCTTTTAAAGTTTTAATTCTTTCAGATTGTGAAACAAATGGTGCAAGGGCAAATGATTTAACATTTGGGAAATAATATTGATCATCACCAGGTGTATGTCTTGTTGTATAAGCCCATATAACTTGTTTAAAATCAAAAATATCAATATCATCACCAACTAAAATAATTTCATGCATAATAAATGCAACTTTTGTATTGAAAAAAATTTCACCAATTTTATTTGAAAATTCTTCTGGTGTTGTATTTAATGATTGTAATTTTTTTAAATCAATTTTCATAACTAACCATAAAGCTTGTGATTCATATGGTGAAAAAACATCAATAATTGGTAAGTCATTCTCAATGGCAATTTGTTTTGCCTCAGCTGCAACTAAAGTACCAATTAACGTATGAGTTTCATCAGTTGCTAAACCTGGATTAGAAATTGGCATTATTGAATTATTTCTATAAGAAATTGAATTGATTTTATAAGTTGGACCTGGATGTGAATGACCTTTGAAAACATAACCATGCATTTCACCAAATGGACCTTCTGGTGATAAATCATTTAGGTTTAAAGTCCCCTCCAATACAATTTCACTAGTTGCAGGAACTAAGATATCATTAGTTTCAGCTTTAATAACTGGTAATGATTCACCTAATATTGCACCAATATAATCTTGTTCACTTATTCCTTCTGGTATTGGCATTGATGATACTAAGATAGCTGCAGGTGGAACACCAAAACATAAAGTGAATGGAATTTGATCACCTTTACCAATTTTGGCCCATTCTTCTGCAACAACTCTAATATGTTGAGGATTTATAACTAATCCAGAAATTTCATTTTTAGATTTAACCATACCACGAGCAATTGACCAATTTGTCCATGATTTATCAGGTGTTTCCAAGATAAACATACCATAAGTTTGAATATATTTACCTCCATCACCATGATGTAAAAATGGTACTGGAATTTTTGTTAAATCAATTTCATCACCTTGAATTAAATTTTCCTTTATTGGTGCTTGGTCTTTAGTGACTTGATGTGGTGGGATTGGTGTTTTGTTTTTAGCATCCAGTAAGAAATTTATAATATCTTTAACATGAGTATTTGATGGTAAATTTAAATGATGTGCAATTCTAGCATGATCAGTAGCTTTGTTTTGTCTTAATCCACCTGGAGCTCCTAAGATTCTAAATAAATTTTTTTGTTGACCTTTAACATTATTAAATAATGGAGCTGGTAATCTTTCTTCATAAACTTTTCTTGTTATAGCACCAATTTCTAAATGAGGATCAACTTCTTTATTAATTTCAATTAAATCACCATCTTTTTGTAATTGTGAAATGAAATCTCTAAAACGTAAACCTGGTTTTAATTGTTGAGAATTGGTACGTTTAACTGTGTTATGAAGCTCTCTAACAAATACTTTGGAGCTCATCTTGATACAAACCACCACTTTATCACGTATATCAGTAAACTTATAATTATGTGTCAATTAGTAAGGGGGATTCAAACAGGATTTATAGATGATCAAGATCAAATAAATATGGGTTACCAGTAAATCACGTATATAAAAACGGTCGGCACAGACAAGGTGACAAATTCACCGATAAAATGCGGTATATTAAACTGTGATAACCTCTATCGATTCCAAAGAAAAGAAGTTTATAATGAAGCCATTCAGTGAAGGATCTAGTGGGTAATTATTTAGCCATACGTAGTCTACTGTCTTCCAAGATTTAGACTGTGTCACGTAGATCTATTGTTATTTACTGGTGGTCTTGTAACGTACTATATATCAAGCCAAACAACGTCTACAGATAATTCGGATTTAATCAGCTGTGATCTTACGAGAAGAGAATAAAGGTGTAGTAACAAACAAACATATATAATGAATTGAATGGCTATTGAACCGTTAAACTTTATTACTACTTGACACAATTTTAACTTTTGGTTATAGTACATGCGTTGTTAAACGTTCAATTAAAGATCTTTAATATCGCCGATTTAAAACACCGAATCCGTTGAAAAATCATTAAGCGATTCACTTGTTCAACTTGTTTCTTTTGAAGATCAGGAACCAGAAACCTGATAAATACCCTGGAAATTGCAAATTAAGGTCTGCTTCTTGGTTCAAAGAGCTATTATACATTATAGAATGCTCATCAGATCACAAATACCCAAGTCAATATGGAGATCAAGTTCCATTAGATTGTTTTCCAGTTCATCATTACTCAGATCATCAACACCATCATCAACAAACATTAAACAATCAGAATCAATAGATAAACAATCTCCTGAATATAAAGAATTTCAAGAGTTTCAAAAATGGAAAAATTTACAATCACAATCAACATTAGATAAACCAAAAAGAATAGTTGTTGCTATAACAGGTGCAACAGGTGTTGTATTAGGTGTTAAAATTTTGGAAATGTTACAAAAATTAGGTGTGGAAACTCATGTAATAATATCTAAATGGGGTGTTGGAACAATGAAATTTGAAACAGATTATACTTTAAAAGATATAACAAGATTATCCACGGTTCATTATTTATCAAAAGATGTTTCTGCTCCAATTTCAAGTGGTTCATTCCATCATGATGGTATGATTGTTGTACCATGTTCAATGAAAACTTTATCAGCTATAAGGACAGGTTATACTGAAGATTTAATCGTTAGAGCTGCAGATGTTACAATTAAAGAGAAAAGAAGATTATTATTATGTGTTAGAGAAACTCCATTATCAAGTATTCATTTAGAAAATATGTTATCATTAAGTAATAAAGATGTTATAATTTTCCCACCAGTCCCTGCTTTTTATACAAGACCTAAATCTATTGATGATATTGTTCAACAAACGTCGGGGAGAATATTGGATTTTTTTGGTTTAGATACTAGTAATTTCCCTAGATGGAATGGTATGACAAATCCTAATGTTGTGGAGGATAAAGATGAAGGAAGTTTTGAAAAGGAATGAGCCATACGTGATATACATTGTCTGGTTAATAACGAATACATTCTATAGATACAATATAACACTCTAAACATATGTGAACAAGATCTCCAAATACTTTAAATATTTAGAATTGTACTTATACACCCGCGAACGCGTTTTATTCGTTTTGATGTCAGAAAGTCGCGAATTTCCATACGCGTATATACAAAATATTTAAAACCGCGTAATTTGAAAGTTTTCAACTTTAACAAACAAGGCCATAAAGAGACATTTCAAAATCAATGAAAAGTGTTTATAAGATCAATAAAACTAGGAAAAATGAGTCAAATATCACTAAAACACCTTTGCAAGATATAACAACAATTATCAAAAACAATGTGGATTCAGATTCTTCTATCCCTTCAACTCCAAATTCATCACAATCACAATCAATAACATCAACTCCTCAAACATCACCATTACCAACAACACAACAACAAAAAAATGTTAAAATACGACATGCTACAAAGCAATCAGTATTATCATTTGGTATTGATGAAAGGAAACAATGTCAAGAATGTGGAATGTCATATTTAAAATATGTTCAATCAGATGTTAAATCACATCAAAAATATCATCAAAAATGTTTAAATGGTAGAGATTGGAATGATAAATGGGGTAAAAAATTAATTGAATTCAATCAAAATGAATATATTTGTACTTTGAATTTAAATAATTCATCAGAAATCAAGGCAAGTTTAGAATTATTAGAAATTGTTAATCAAAATTTAAATGCACCAGATGATAATGAATTTTGGTTAAAGGGTACAGACAGTGGTAAAATATTCATATATGTTAAAGATAAAAAAGCCGTAGGGATTGTATCCACAGAGAAAATCACAAAAGGTCATTGGTTTGCCATAGATGATGGGGTTGTTATAAATAAAATTGATATTGAATTATTAGCTGGTATTAATAGAATCTATGTATCTAAAAACCATAGAAGATTCGGAATTGCCTTGAAACTATTGAAATGTGCCCAAGAACACATGATCTATGGAATGGTTATCCCCAAGCATAAGATTGGATGGTCTCAACCTAGTTTTTCAGGTGGGAAATTTGCTAAAACATTCAATGGAGTCAAACACAAATCTGGTAAAATTTTGATTCCTGTTTATACCTAAATAAAATGAGATCCGGTGGTTTTCAAAGCCCTCGTAATTCCCCTTTTTTGTTTCCGAGTCGAATTTTTCAAAGTAAATTAATTTAAATTTTTCTTTTTTTCATGGATTTTACAACCGTTTTTTTTCTTCTTGAACTTTAAAAAAAAGAATTTTAATATTAGTTTCTTAAAATTATGTGAAGATTTTAAAGTATTAGATCTTTATTCATATACATAGAAACTAACTTGATTAGTTGTGAGATTCTAATTATTTGATACTTTCTTGCATCTTTTTCACTTCTAAAGACACGTGAAATACATAAAAGGTATGTTTATTGAGAATTATGTCTCATCAATTTTGGTATACACATTACAAGTTTTCTTTCTATTATGATGATTTAAAAAGATTTTCAGACGTTAGACTTCCTAATTACATTGAGGATACGATCTAAGATAGCTGATTTAGAAAAAAAAAATGTTGAATGTTTATCAAAATTGATGATGACTCATTGAATCTTTTTGCCCCTTTGTCATATATACTAATCATATTATAGAATGTGTGGTATTTTAGGTTTATGTTTAGCTGATAAAAATGCTAATGCAGCACCTGAATTATTTGAAGGTTCATTATTTTTACAACATCGTGGTCAAGATGCTGCTGGTATAACAACATCTGGTCCAAAAGGTCGTTTTTATCAATGTAAAGGTAATGGTATGGCTAGAGATGTTTTCACTCCTGAAAGATTATCAGGTTTAGTTGGGAATTTTGGTATTGCTCATTTAAGATATCCAACTGCTGGGTCTTCTGCTGGTTCTGAAGCTCAACCTTTTTATGTTAATTCTCCTTATGGTATTTCTTTATCTCATAATGGTAATTTAGTTAATACTTTACAATTAAGAAAATATCTTGATGAAGAAGTTCATAGACATATAAATACTGATTCTGATTCTGAATTATTATTAAATATCTTTGCATGTGAATTAGATAAAACAAATAAAGCTCGTGCTAACAATGAAGATATTTTCACTGCATTAAAAGGTGTTATGGAACGTTGTCGTGGTGCTTATGCTTGTTCTGGTTTATTAGCTGGTTATGGATTATTTGCATTTAGAGATCCAAATGGTATTAGACCTTTATTATTTGGTGAACGTGAAAATGAACAAGGTTCAATTGATTATATGGTTGCATCTGAATCTGTTGTGTTGAAAGCTCATAACTTTAAAAAATTCAGAGATATTTTACCAGGTGAAGCTGTTATAGTACAAAAATCAGGTGTTGTAGAATTTAAACAATTAGTTCCAATTAAAGATTATACACCAGATATTTTTGAATATGTTTATTTTGCAAGACCAGATTCTGTTTTAGATGGTAATTCAGTTTATCATACAAGATTAGAAATGGGTTCTAAATTAGCTGAAAATATTAAAAATGTCTTTACAGGTAAAGATATTTCTAAAGAAATTGATGTTGTGATACCTGTTCCAGATACTTCAAGAAATTCAGCTTTAGAATGTGCAGTTAAATTAAATTTACCATTTAGAGAAGGTTTTGTTAAAAATACTTATGTTGGTAGAACTTTTATTATGCCAGATCAAAAAAAAAGAGTTTCATCAGTTAGAAGAAAATTAAATGCAATGGAATCTGAATTTAAAGATAGAAATGTTTTATTAGTTGATGATTCAATTGTTAGAGGTACAACTTCAAAAGAAATTATTCAAATGGCACGTGAAGCTGGTGCTAAAAAAGTTTATTTCGCTTCAGCTGCTCCAGCTATTAGATATAATCATATTTATGGTATTGATTTAGCTGATACAAAAGCTTTAGTTGCATATAATAGAACAGATGAAGAAGTTGCTCAAATTTTAGGAGCTGATAAAGTTATTTATCAAAAATTAGAAGATTTAATCGCTTGTGTTAATGCAAGAACAAAAGAAAATAAGATAACGAATTTTGAAGTTGGTGTCTTTACAGGTAATTATGTTACTGGTGTTGAAGATGGTTATATTCAAGAATTAGAAAAAGTTAGAGCACAAAATCAAAAATTAAAAGAATTGAATGGGAATTCTGATCATAATGCAAAAGCTGAATCAGATATTGGTATATATAATTTAGGAGATTATAAATAGATAGAGTTTAATGTAATGTAATAAAAAGTTTATGAAATAATTAATGAAAATTTTGTAGCGTGCTTATATACCCGCGAAAATCAAAAAAATCTATTGTTTTGTAAATTTTGAAATCAAAACATCACCAAAAAATATTCAATGGATATCAATATTATAGAAATAGTGGGAAACTAGAACTGAGATGGGTGTTTGGAATGATTTATTGGCGTCTTTTGCAGCGTCCAAGGCTCCTACAAAGTCTGTTTTTATTCTAGGTAAGTTGATGATCTGGGTTGTTTTATTAATTGGTGGTACACTAACATTTATATAGGTGGTTCAACTAAGAGTCAAAACGCTTTCATAGATCAATTATATTTAGATGAAGAATCATTCTTGACACCAACACTGAGGAATCCAAAAGCCAATGAATTTGGAGTGGGATATACATATATTCAATTCAAGGATGAATATGGTGAATTATTATCAACACTTCAAATCTATACATTACCAGGTGATTATAAAGAACGTCATAACCCATTGATTCAGACTGTTTTGAAATCTTTAGATCTATTGAATTCATTGATTATACCGCTCTTGGACTATACAGAAACACCACATTGTTGGATAAGTTCTTTAAAATCATGGATTTCAATAATTGATGAGATTCTTCCAATAGCAGGAAAAGAAACAGATTCAAATAAAACTGAAATTAAGGATGAATTGAGTACTATTACATTAAGTGTTAATGTTTTAATCGCAGTGGTGAATACAGAAACTAGACCTGATTGGGAATATTCAAATTTTGAATTCATCCAAGTTATACTTAGATTATTATCATTGATACATGGATTCAATTTAATTTATACATCATTATTAAGAAAGGATTCAAGAATATCACAATTAGTCTCTTCAATATTGAAAATCGATATAACAGGGAAAGTTTTACCTAAATTAGAACCAAACTTAATTGATCATACAGAAATTTTCGTTCCAATTGGTATTGATACAATAGGGAAAATTAGAACTATTAATGATGATATAAATCCAAATGAAATATTACCAAAATATGATTTTTTGAAAAAACCAGAAGATGATGAACTTGTGAAATATTATGAAGATATAATTCCCAAACCTCCACAAAAGAAACAGGTTGTTTCAAATGGTGATGATGAAGATGAGAAATCCACTACTGCTCAAGCTGATATATCATATCAAGAGTTCCTAACGAGACTATATGATAAGAGAAATAATTCACAAGAAGCTCATTTACGAAGTTTTATAGAGAATGTGAAATCATAAGCATATGGAATATTTGATATTATAGCTATAATGAATTGCTTTGAAGCTTATAATAAATGATTCATATATGAACTACATCATCATAGTACATCCCTAACTAATCATTGATAATTTGTAAATTAATATCGATCAAATACTCAAATCATCATGAGATTTCAGAGCTACTTATATACAATGAACTCGCGAATTCGCGTAGCTGCAGATTTTTTTTGGAGATGAGATTCATTCGAGACCATCAAGTCGAAGTACAAAAGGATTATTTATCTATTCACTAACATATTTGTTAATCATTGCTCCTGGTATTCTAAGTTGAGATTGCTAGATTTCTATCTTCATTATGGCTGCTGTGGATAACTTGAGTGATGTATCCAAACTGAAGATCTCTAATGATGCTTCCAAAAGAAGCAAGAGAAGAAGATCAAGTAATTATAGACTTACAGAAAAGCCAAATGTTAAAGTTCAAGCTGTGAAAAAGGATAAAAAGAGAAAACATCTGTTACCTCCATCATTAAATTTGAAAGCTCCAAACAAAGTTGTTAAGATACGTGATGTTCGTGATTTTGCTTTATATATATATCAACTAGAAAATAGATCACCTTCTTTTATTGATGTTACGAATAGAGATCAAATTGAACATGTTGTTCTATTATTGGTTCCTGGTTTAGAACTACAAGACTTTGGGTTAGATTGGGAATCATTGAAATTTGATTCAATTGAATTACCTAAAATTCCTGAAGAATTGAAATTTTTCCAATCAAATTTAAATCAAGCTGCCATTACACAAGCTCCAGATGATAATTATTCATTATACCCATTAACAAATGCTTTAATCAATATACCGTATAACAAAAAGGAAAAACAAAGGAAAACAAAAGAATTGGAATCCAAGAAAGTGGTTATTGGTGATTTATTAATGAAAGTGGAAGAATTTATTGATCAAAATTATCCAGTACATCCTTTAATTGAAGGTGTTACTGAAATTGAAAAAACATCACCACCATTAGGATGGGTTGACACTGTGGAATTTGAACATGAAGGTTCACATACATTTTCTATTGATTGTGAAATGTGTGAAACTGAAGCTGGGAAAGTATTAACTCGTGTTTCATTAATTGATTTTAATGAACAAGTTATAATGGATGAATTAGTTAAACCAAAAGATGAAATTACAAATTATTTAACTCAATATAGTGGTATTACTGAAGATGCATTGAAAAATGTTACAACAACTTTACAAGATATACAACAAAAATTATTGAAAATTATTAGTGTTAATGATGTATTAATTGGACATTCTATAGAGAATGATTTAAATGTTTTACAACTACGTCATCCAAAAATCATTGATACCTCATTAGTATATGAGCATCCAAGAGGTCCACCTTATAAATCTTCTCTAAAATATTTAACTAAAACATATTTAAATAGAACGATTCAAGAAGGTTCACATGATTCAATTATAGATGCAAAAGCATGTTTAGATTTAGTAAAGACTAAAATTCAAACAAATGCACTTTTAGGTAAAGTTATTGATGGACAAACTATTTTCAACATCTTAGAAGATTCTCATAAAAAAGCAGTTGTTATTGATTATATGAGGGTACCCAAAGGTAATACAAAATTTGTTGAATGTTCAAATGATGATGAAATAACAGATAATGTAATCAACAAATCAACAAATTCAGAATTAGTTATTGCTAAATTGAATGAAATTAATTTATCTCAAAGAGATGAAGCAAATGGAATTAAATCAAAAGATGAAATACCTAAAAAGGAGAAACTTTTCCAAAAATTAAATGAAAGAATTGAAAAAATATATTCAAATTTACCAGGAAATTCTATATTAATTGTTTCAAGTGGTAATGGTAATACAACACAAGTTCATTCATTAGGTCAACAAAAAAGAAATTTCAAAAGAGAATATCAAAATAAATTATATAGTGAAATTGAATCTAAATGGGATAATGATGATGAATCAAATTTGAAAAATGCAATGAAAAAAGCAAGAACTGGGTTAGTATTTGCCACATTAAAGACTAAATCAAAATCAACACCAAAAGAACAAAATGAAAATGAGATTAATGAACAAGTTGTAATTAATGATGAAAATAATGAAGAAGCAATTTTAGAAACTGATGAATCATAAATATAGATATAGTATTGTATAGAGTTTAGATGCTGATGTTTCGACGTTGATAATTAGATTATACGATACACTAACTTTATAATTAATGTAAACAAAACATCAAAATTCATTAAAAATACATTCTAGATATACACTTTTTTCCATTAAACGATATGATTCTATAACCTATTCAACAACAACATCACCTTCAGAATCTTTCTTTGGTTCTTGGTCGGTTGGTTGTTGAGTTTGTTCTGGTTGTGGTTCTGGTGCTGATGCTTCTGCTGGTGCCACTTCATTAGAGGTTTCTGTAGATTCATTGGTTTGATCTTTTGATTGTTCTTCTGGTTTAGGATCTTGTTGATTGGTTTCAGTAGTTGTTTCTTGAGGCTCAGTAGTTGATTGATTTGATTCTTTATTTTCAGTTTGAGCCTCAACAGGATTTGAAGCTTCTGTATTTTTAGATTCTTCTACATTAGTTGTTGTATCTTGCGATTGTTCGGTTGATTCAGGTTTAGAAGTTTCTGTGGTTGTTGGGGCTTGAGCTTGGGCTTGGGCTTCATCAGTTTTTGCAGGTTTTTCCCCATTTTGTTGTTGAGATGAAGCATCATTATTACTCGATATACCTGGAATTGCTTCACCACCACCAACAGCACCTCTAATATCAGCATCCGTTAATCCATTAGCATCTCTTTTGTTTATTATAGAAAATTCTTCAATATCTAAAATATCTTCTTCATCACCATCAACAATTGGTTTATAATCGGTATCAATGGTCCATACTTTCACTTTGAATTTATAATTCTGTTGTTGTTGATCTAATGATGGAGTGTCTCTTTCATCACCAAATGGGGTTGGAGTAGCACTTGGTGTTATATTGGTTGATACTGGGACAGATTTAGTAGGACTATACCAATCTCTTTTCCAATGTTTTTCCTGTGAATTATCGATTCCAAAGTTCAATGCATTGGCGTTTCTGACAAGGGATTGTCCGTATAATGATTGTCTACCAGACATTTGTATTGATATAATTCGTTCTCTTTGATCTTGTTCAAATTCGAATTTGTTTATTTGAAATGTTGATTTTCGTGTTTATTTGAAGTCAAAATCCATTAAAAACCAGTGGTGTCTGGATGCTTTGGTTTTTGGTTTTGTTGATGTTTGTAAATTAAAGTGAAAGCGAGAAACCAATAACAGAATCAATGGGAAACAAAGGAACTCGCTAGGCAGACAAAGAGCAGACAAAGTGCAAAGAGATGGCGTCGCAGAAGAAGGACCAGGGTGCGCTACGGAATGAGGAGGACGACTTCAATGCCCTTTTGAAGGGAAGCGACATGGGCTCGTTTGACATTGGCAAGCTCATAGGCAAGGGCGACATGAACACAGAACACGCAGACAATGCTATTGACTATGAAGATATCGATGAGCTCGCAGATGATGACTTGCCTGAAGAGGAAGAACCATCAAATGGTAATACCAACGGTAATGGTGGTGCTGCTGCTGGTGATGATGATGGAGATGATTTCATGAAGGATCTTGAAGTTGAGGCAAAGGGAACAAATGATAATGATAATGATTCACAATTCGATAGGCTGTTTGGGGATAAGATTGATGATGGATTCGGTGGTGATCAAGGTTTTGAAGATACAGAGGAAGATATACAAAAGGCTAAACAAGCTGAAGAAGCTAAAAAGAAGAAGAAATTAGAAGAATTGGAGAAACAGAAGAAAATTAAAGAACAAGAAGATCAAGAACAACTGAAATTTCAAGAAAGGCTGCTGAAATTTTATTATCCATCGTTTAAGAAGAATTCCATACTAAAGATGAATTCCATTTTCGGACCAAAACCACAAAATTATGAATATCATAAACCAGGTTATCCAAAACCATTACTGCCGACAAAAGTTAATTTAGAAGTTGAAACTGATGATAGAAGAATTTTCAAGAGTAACCTTAATCATAATACGAGGAATGATACCAAAAGAATTATCCCAATTGAAGATGATATTTTTGAAGATCAAGTTACTAAAAAGAAAACTAAAGTTGAATTGGATGAAGATTTAATGTTATCAACATTTGAATGGGATTATAAAAAAATTGTTGGTGATTCAAGTGAAAATGAAATTTTAAATGAAAAGCAAAATGGAAATTTAAATCAAAAAGATATAACTCTGAAAGAACAAATTGAAAGATTTAATTATTTTGATGAAGAAGATTATGATGATGATGCAATTTTAGAAGGTCAATTAGCTACGAAACTGCAACTTGATATGAATGATCCAAATCTATTATTTTTGGATGATAGAAACGTTTCACAACATAAAGTTTCACGTAAACCATTAATACCAGCTATACCAACAAATGAAAAACTTTTAGCTGCTAAATTTAACGTTTCAAATGATCAAAATTATGATCAATTGAAAGAAAATTATCATAGTAAAATTAGATCTACAATTGGTAATATGGCTATTGAACATTCACAACCTGCATTAAGACTTCAATCACCATATTATAAAGTTAAACTTACTAAAGATCAATTACGTAACTTCCATAAAAAAGATTTCAAAGTTAGACCTGGTCATGTTATGCAATTTTCTAAACTAAAACAAAGAAAAAGAAAGAAGGATCGTGGTAAAGATATTAAAGAACTGTTTGCTAAAACTACTGATTTATCATTAGGTGATACGGGACAAACATTACTTATGGAACATTCAGAACAAGTGCCAATTGTATTACCAAATTTTGGTATGGGTAGTAAATTACTCAATTATTATAGGAAAAAAGATGAAGAAGATACTTCAAGACCTAAATTAGCAATTGGTGAAACACATGTCTTAGGTGTTCAAGATAAATCACCATTTTGGAATTTTGGGTTTGTTGAACCTGGTAATATTGTTCCAACTCTTTATAATAAATTAACCAGAGCTCCAGTTTTCAAACATGAAGCTAAAAGTACAGATTTTTTATTAATTAAAAGTACAGGTGGTGGAATTTCTCAAAAATATTTCTTAAAAAGTATAAATAATTTATTTGTTGTTGGTCAATTATTCCCAGTTGTTGATATTCCAGGTCCACATTCAAGAAAAGTTACCACCGCAAGTAAAAATAGACTGAAAATGATTGTTTTCAGAGTTCTGAAAAGAAGTCCTGAAAGAAGATTATTAGTTCGAGATATTTCTATTCATTTCCCAGATCAAAATGATATGCAAAATAGACAAAGATTAAAAGAATTTATGGAATATCAAAGATCTGGTGATGATCAAGGTTTTTGGAAATTAAAAGAAGAATTACCAAGTGATCGTTTAATCAGTCCTGAAGATCTGACTTTATTAGAAGCTATGCAAGTTGCTCAACAACATATGGAGGATTTAGAATTTTACTCAAATGAAGATATAAATGATGAATTAGCTCTATGGAATTTAAGTAAGAATTTCATTAATGCCACACAGGGGAAAGCAATGTTACAATTAAGTGGTGATCCTGAAGGTAAAGCATTTTCATTTATGAAAACTTCAATGAAAGGTGGGTTTAAAAGTTTTGAATCAAATGGTCATAGTTATAATGTTGCCCTGCAACAAAAGGCTTATGATGAAGAAATTTCAAGAACTTGGTATAATCAACAGAAAAAATTAACAGAAATTTCATCAAATGTTGATGAAGATGAAGGAAATTCAGAAGATTTAAATAAAAAGGAAGAATCAATAAAATTTTTAAAAATTACAAGAAGAGTTAGAGATAAAAATGGTATTTTACAAAGAAAACATGAAATTATTAAAGATCAAAATGTTATAAGAGCTTATATTAAACGTCGTGAAAAATTAGAAGAAGATATTATACCAGATGATATTACTTTAACAAATGATGAAGAAAAAAATCAAAAAAATAAAAAATTATTAGAAGAACAATTGGCCAAATTACAAAAAAATCAAGAACGTCGTAATGCACGTAAAGTTAGTAAAGAAAATATGGGTGGTAAAGGTATTGGTAAAGGTAAAAGTACTGCTCGTAGATGTCAAAATTGTGGTGGTATTGGTCATATTAGAACTAATAAAGCATGTCCTATGTATGATGAAAGTAATCCATGATTAATTTTCTTAGGTCAAGCTATGAATTGATGAAATTTTTGTTTATAATTACGAAATGCATTGTTTTATATAATTAATTTTAAATATGTATGTATTTAATCATTATTATTAAGATTATAAGACCAGCAAATTTCATTAATGTAGCAGCTTTTAAAGTATTTTATTGTTTATATATAATTTTTGAGATGATTTATATGTTGTATAATATGAAAATCTTGATTTAAACATGAATCATACTTTTCTACCAAGCAATGATATTAGCACAATAAGATTCTAATTCAGATTTATCTTCAAATTTAGAACCAAAACCTATAATTTTATTACCATCATCTTGAATACAAAATAAAACATCATCTTGATTTGGTTCAAATTCTCTTGATAATCTTTTGGTGATTGATTTTGTTTGACCTCTTTTATCACAACTTGGTCCACCAACTGATATGACTTGTTTAATACTTGAATTTGGGAATGTTGTAACTTGTGGTGTACAATGGAACCAATCATAATTTATTCTTGTACTATATTTAAAATATTCAACTGCTGCAACCAATGAAAGTACTATAAAGACCACTTGGATCAAGTTGAAAATATTATTACTCTTTGGAGCCATTGTATGAGACTGATGATTATGAATGAAGTGAAAGAATTGGGTGGTGATTGACAATATCGTCAAATTAATTTTGGTGACATGCTTCACGTCAAAATTTAATTTTTATAAAGTATCTTTTTTTCCGAAATCAACATTTTCGCGACGATTTAATAGGGGCTTTAAAATTCAAGAATACTACAATGAAAAATTATATAAAGAACTGAATTTATCTTGAATTTATTAAACTTATAATCTTTTTTTTTTGGTTTTAAGTATAAAAGTATTTGTTATTCTCATCAAAGAATAAAATCAAAAATATAACAATCATAAAGGGTATATAAAAAATATCAGAAATTGTTACTGAAAGTCAGCAATTAAGCGAAATTGGTAATTGAAGATATTATTTTTCTTCACTGATAATGGCATAATTACCACCAATCCATTCATTGAAGAAATCTAAAGCATTTGCTGGTTGATCATAAGGAACCATATGACCTGCACCATAAACTCTTAAGAATGTGAAAATATCATGGTTCTTGACAGTACCAGCTTCTTTACCTGCAACATTCCATGGTTTAACTTTTGAAGAAGCAAATTTTTCAGAACCTGACCATGGTAAAACATCAACCCAAGCTTCATTACCTAACCAGTTACAAATGAAATCTTTATCACCAGCATAAATTAAAACAGGTAATTTTGATTCTAATAAATCAGTAACAGCTTTATGATATGGTTTCATCCAATCACCTGCAAATAAAAAGTTTCTATTAACATCAAAGTTACAAGATTCATAATTATCAGTTTCAGCACCTAAAGCTTCTTTAACATCATCTCTGTTTAAATATTTATCAATATATTCTAATCCAGTGTAACATAATGAACCACCTTCACACATTTCTCTAATATCATAAACATTACGACCAGTTCTTTGATATGGACCCATTTGAGCATTATTACAATAAATTGAAGCTGGAACACATGACCAAACGGATTGTGATTGATAACAACTATCAATTAATGATAAACAACGAGATTGAGAACTCAACATAGCTTCACATTCTTCTTCTGGTAAAACTGATGGTTCACCACCTTCACCACAAGCCATTGGTTCATAATATTTATATTGAGTTAATGGATCAGTTAATCCATTACCAATTAAAACAGATGTAAAATTGAATTGTCTTTCTTCATGAGATAAGATTTCTGAAGCGAAAACTGGAATATAATGACCTGCATAAGATTCACCAGCAATATGGAATGGTAAATTTTTATATTGAGAAAATTGTTTGAAAAATAATTCTAAAAATGCATAAACATCTTTACCAGCTGCAACGGTATCGGTAACTGAACTTGATGAATAAGAATAACCAACATTAATAGGTTGATCTAAAAAGATAACTGAAGCATTTGAATTCCATGAATGTTTGTTATAAATTGGTTTAATATCTTCACCAATTGAAGATGGACCTAATTCAAAAAATAACCCAGTTAAAGAAGAACAGCCTGGACCACCATTTAACCACAAGATAATTGGATCATTTTTAGGATCATTTCTTGATTCAAAGAACCAATAAAAGAAATGTTTATCTTCATCTTCAACATCTAAATAACCAGAATATTGTTTAACAGTATCAATACCAAGAGATTCAGGAGTTTTTTTAACTCTAAGAGCATGATTTGGTAATTTTTCATCTTTAACATGGAAATCCCAAGCATTAATTTTTTCAGTATGAGGTTTTGGATTAGTTTTAAATTGTAAATTTGAAACAGCATTTGGGAATTTTAAAGTCATTTCTGACCACAAACTCTTAACATCATTTGATAAATTTTCAATTGGGAAATTCAGAGCTTCTGAAGCTTTTTGTAACAGATTTTCATTGAATAAAGATTGTTGAACAGAGAATCCATTAGCAGCATTAGCAGACAGCAGACCAGCAATGGCAAAAGCCAAATTGGTTGACACCTTCATTATTATAAAAAGAGCGCTTAAAAAAACAGAACCAAATAAGATAAGAGCTCAGTACAAAAATCACCAGACAAACAGACCAAGACCAGATTCTAATTCAGTAGTTTCAATTGAATTGAATAAATCTTTTATATTGCAAAGTTTGTTGGAATTGTTTGGAATTGGCGTGAAAGGTAAAAGGAGAAAGTGAAAGTGAAAGTGGCGGGAATATAAAGGTTATCATCTCCAGCCAAATTACGTAAGCTATAGTAGCTATTTCGCGAAACGTCACCCGGATGATTGCGATAGGGGAAAAAAACTTCGCGAATCTGCTTATCAGTGAAGATCTGAATTTTGGTTATCTCGTACAAACAAACAATAGACAGAAAGGGTACATTGGATAACAAAGCTATACATTGTGTTTATAGGCCTAATACTTCATCTAATAATCTGACACAGGCAACTAGTTTCTCATCTTCAAATCTTTTAGCAGTTAATTGTAATCCAATTGGTGCATTGATGTAATCATTAGGATTATAATTTGTCATGTTTGAAGGACCTTGAAGATCAACATTTGAATCATGAGTTAATCCTGTTTTAAACACAATATTGGGGAAATCAATCAAATTAAACATTGAAGAATAAAACCAATGTGTAATATTATCTGGAACTTCTGCAACATTTGTAAAAGTTGGACCAATAATGAAATCTAATGATTCATTTTCAAATAATTGATGGAAATATAATTTTGTTTGTTCTTTAACAATGTTATTAGTTAAAATATTATTACCATTTTCATTAGCAAAATTCAAAAACACTTGTGTTAATGGTAAGATTGGTTCTTCAGATTTATTCAAGATTTCATCATGTGTTGGTTTTGATGTACCATAAATTTGTTTATTTTGTTTATATGCATTCTCCATTAATTCATGATCTAAATTTATTGTCTTAACAATACATTTTTTACCTGTAAATTTGGTTAATTTATCTTGAACATAACTTAAACCTCTCTTGATTGAATCTGATGGATCAACAATTGTATCAGTTGTCAAGAACCCAAATGTAATTGTATCATCTAATTGATAATTTAATTTCCATTCCAATGGGATAATATTTGGATCTTTTAACCAAGGTTTACCTTTATTAATATAAGCATCCATATAATAATCAATATCATCAATTGAATTTGTCATTGGACCTTGAGTTGCAAAAATTGATTCTTGACCTGCACCACCACTTAATGAACCTAAACCTGATAATCTTTTAGTTGTTGGTCTAATACCATAAATTCCACAAAATGCTGCAGGGACTCTTACTGAACCACCAATATCAGAACCAATACCAATAACACTTGCTTTTAATGCAACTGCAGCACCTTCACCACCTGAAGATCCACCAGGACTGATCTTGGTATTAAATGGATTAGTTGTTCTACCAGTAATATTATTTTGAGTATCAAGATGCATTACGGTTTGAGGTTGAGAAGTTCTAATATAAAAAACAGCACCTTGATCTCTCAAGATTTTAATAGTTAAACTTTCATCATCTGGGTTTGTTATAATATTATCCAAAAATGCAACATAACCAGCATTTGTAATTTTACCTTTATATTTCATCAATTCTTTTAATGAAATTGGAATACCATGGAATGGACCAACTAATTTACCACCATTCTTTATTCTATAATCATCCAATTCTTGAGCTCTTTCTAAGCCTTCTGGGAAAAACAATTCCATAGCACAATTGGTGAATATATGAGCTAAAGCACCTCTCTTTGAAAAAGCATTATAGATATCCACAGCGGTTAATTCATTTTGTAATTGTTTATCAATCAATTCTCTGGTGGTTAATCCAGTGATTTTCAATTCTTTTGGACTTAGGAGCTTTTCAATTTCCACAGCGGCATTGAAATGTTCATCTTTTGAAGGATCAATGTTTTTAATCAAAGGAAGGTATGGTTCCACTTGTTTTGATAGATCTTGTCTATAGTGTTTGATCTTTGGTAAATATACTTCTGTGTACTTGTCTAGAGTCATTGTGCTATAGTCTATTAGAACAAAGTACCAGATCAAATACAAGGATATCACATCATTTATATACAAATCAATATCTTATCAAATTCTCATTGTAACCTTCTTTGTCGCTTAATCCCCAATCAGTTGTTTTAAGATTCCCCATTATATCAGAAAAGATAAAGAAACGCGTTTACCTTAAACGGAATTATCAGCGATACTTTGGAATTATATAACTTATATCGCGGAATATTGATCCACTAATCAAACATATACAAGAGTACTACATCTTATCATTTTGATGTTTATTCCTATAGTTATATATTCATTGAAGTGCTTTACTAACTCCCTCACCAATTATTAATCCAACATTTGGTTTGATCATAAGGTACCACAACCTGTAATGGTTAATAATTTAGCATTTGGACCTTCCAACTTGTGTTTAAAATAATTGAGAACATCTTCACCATTGACATAAGTTTGTCTACCAGCCTCTGGAGGATCATCATAATATTTGAAAGCAAATAGTCCAATTGCAACATGATGGTTACGGAAAAATGGAGTGCTTTGAAAAGCTAGAATGAATTCAGAACCAATTTGACCTGAGCCATCATTACGCATGTATAAAACACCTGGACGTAAAGGGGGCATACCAAACCTGCCATCAATAGGAATTTTTTCCATATCACCATCATCTATTTTACCACCCGCTAATGTATCAAATAAATAATCGGGCGTTTCACCATGCAAAGTGGTACCTTCATAACTAACTCCATTTTTTCCTGTAGCTAAATCAATAAACCTTTTTTGAGCATCAAAATTTATCATCCCAGCTTCAAATATATCGAAAACAAGTTTATATTCACCATCTTCATAAGGATTATTGTCTTGTTATTATACGGTTAATAATCATGTGCATGTACTATATCATGCTCCATCAAATATCAATTATGTTAATATAAGATACACCGATACACCTCGTTGACAAACGTTTTCCATTTGTATAACATGTTATAACTTATAATATTTGGATTTTGAATATTATCAGCTGGTAAATATAGACTTACTGGTGTGTAGGTCTATATCAAAATAGACCCTTAACTTTTTTGTGGAGTCCTCACCCATGTTTTAATTTATAACGTATTAATATTCAATTGGGATATAATAAAATATGTGCAGTATGGACGAATATATATAATATGTTCAAATTCAGTTAGGTGTTGTCAATCAATTAGTATAGGACATGACGTTAAGAATTTAGAAGTAAAAAGTATGTAAACATACGTCTTTAATTTGATCTACAAGACAATCATAAGCAACAATTAATAAATGAGTGGGTCTACCTGATATCATGATTCATCTTTGTACAGTACTTCATGAACAAACAAGGATTCAAGCATACGTATGATCATCTATAATTATATGTAATTAAAATGGATCTCAATTTCAATACACCTTCAATCATGAAAGTCACAAAGTACTGTATTAGGTATACGTGCAATGCTTCCTATATTGAGTAAGCAGCCTACCAAACTCATTATACCACCGTACCTTGATAGTAGTATCATTATACCATCACACCATATACGCTCATTTGCTGATCTTGAATATATGTTTTTATCAGATCTACCAGTTTCCAGCTTGTTCATGAATTCAATATTGCAATTACAATTTTATATGACAGTTTGCAAAATTACGCAAAAAATAGTGTTGCGAAATCGCGTTTTCCTCTTATGGATACATTTTGTGCCAATTTTCATTATTCTTTTCAAATTACCACATTGGGTAATCTCGACGTGTCAAAAACGAAAAATCCGAAACCAAAACAATTAATTATTTTAATTATATGGCAAAGTGAAAACATTATAAACATTTATCAGTACAATATCAGACATCGAAACGCAGATTTATTCAACACATATGATTCTACCCACTATAATATTCTTTACATTATCATTGCTACTTTCGGTGCTCGCCTTGAATAGATTTCTCTCTTTTAAAAATCAACCAAATATTCTCTTTGCTATAGTGGTGATTTCGGCAATTTACATTCCAATATCAATTACTTTTTTATTACCAATTGATATTCTTTCAAGTAATGATGATGGTACAGGTCATGGTGATAATAAACATAATGTGTTCTATTTAGATTCAAAATATATACTATTCCTTTGGAAATTGGATTATTGGTCTGCTTTCTTGTTTATGTGGGTACTTTTACCATTCTTACAAGAATATTATAGATCAGGTCAATTTAATTCCATTTCAAAAGCTAAAGATTCATTCATAAGTAATTTGAAATTCCAATTAGCAGTGGGAGGGATAGGTATTATTGGTTTAGTATATTTCTTTATGAGATTTGGTTTCAATTTCCAAATTTTTAAAAGTTTATTAATTGCATTATCACATACTTATTCATTAATTCTATCACTTTGGTTAATGTCACATGGTTTAATAAATATACCAAGAAGACGTTGGAATAATAATATAAATTTAAATAATCAATTGGAAAATTTATATTTATCATTACCTAAAACTTATGATGAATTAAATGAATCAAATTATAATTTTAAAGATGTTTGTGCTACAATTGATAAGATTTCATCATTACCAGGAATTCATCAAAGTATATGGTTAAATGAAATTAATATTTTGAAAAATCAAATCCCTTCAGATTTAAATATTAGAAATCATGTTATTAATGAAAATTTTACAGATATAAATCAAATTAATTTATCAATCTTGTCAAAATTAAATTCTAAATTGAAAAAAGAAACTACAAATTATGAAGCATCAAAATATGAATTTAATAAAAAAAAATTTGAAATATTAAAATTACAAGATATTTTAGAATCAAAAGAAACTAAAACTTTAAAATTTAGATATAATTCAACAGGTTTAAATTTATCACATAATGGAAGATTAAATTATTTAATCTATGTTTATTTCATTCCAATTATAAATATCTTGATTTCAATTTTCTTGTTTTTATTATCCATTATAATTATTGAAAGTGAATTATTACATTCAACCAAGTTATCAATTGTGGATTTTTTATTATCATCAACTAAAATATCATCAACTTGGAAATTTATAATTTCAATTATTTTATTAACTTATATGGCTATGAGTGCATTAGTTTCATTAACAAGAATTAATATTTTTAAAATTTATCATCTTTTCCCTAAAAATTCAAATCCTGTTAGTATTGTTTTTTTCACAATGTATGCAAATAGATTAACAATTCCATTATCATTTAATTTTTTAACATTATTAAGAACAGGTAAAATTCATTCAAATTTTGATAATTTTTTGGGGAAATCAATTAATTTATCAATTTTAGGTGGATTTTTAAATGATAATTTACCAAGATTAATAATTATACCAATTTTATTAACTTTTTTCAATGTTTTCGATAAATTAAAACAAAAATTAACATTTGGATATTTTGATGATTATTTAAATATTGATGAAGATGAATCAAGAGATCAATTAAACTCTGGAGATATTGAAAATGGTTATTTAAGAAAAGAAAATGTTATTAAAGAAGCTAAATCAATTATACTTAGAGAAGTTGGAACAATGAATACAACAAGATACCAGGATTCATCTTCAAGAAATTCAAGATCAAGTTTACATTTAGATCAAAATGAAAGTAGTTCAAGACCAAGTTATGAACAAGATTCTTCAATTTTCGATAGATTAAAACAAAATGTTAATTTTGATAATGTTAAAAAATTTAATATATTTGGAGATAGATCCAAAACAAATAGATTAGATGAAGATGTACTATGAAATATAGATATAGTATATAATAACATTTATAAATATATACATCCATTTATGCCATTTCACTCTTATCATTATAATCTAATGGTAATTTTTTAGAAAATTTTTCATAAATTAACCATTGATAAATAAAACAAGAATCAAAAAATAATGTAACAAAACTTAAACCTAATTTCCCACTATTATTTAACATTATATCTAAATTTAAATGACCAGTCATTAAATAAGCATCTAAAAATAATTGACCAATTGATAAAATCCCACCAGTGAGATCTAAGAAAATTGTTAATATACTAAAACCAATAACTGATTTTCTTTTATAATTATGACTTAATTGGGGAATATATTTAATTATACTCATGAATATTTTGATATATGATAACGTGATTGCTAAATCTAAAATAGTTAATGATTGATTTTTATAATTTTCATGAAATTGATGAATTTTATTTGTACCAACACATTGATAAAGTGTATAAATTATTAATAAAACTGAAATTATTATAATTTTTGTAGTTTTTTTAACATGTGTAGTTCTTTTTTTAAAACCCCAAAAATATAATTGAGATATCATAACTAAATTCATTATTAACCCATGACTTGAATAAACAATATCAATATTTGTTAATAAAGGTTCATAACCATGATGATCTATATATAGTTGACGAACTTCAGAATTATATAATAATAATGACATTGAACTTAAAAGAGCAACATAACCGATATTATTCAAGTATAAATAGTCCACAGAGACACCATCTGATGATTTTAATTTATAATTTAAGATTAATGGAGGATAAAATGAAATACTCTTGATAGTTGTTAGTATATGGATCAGGTACAATAATACCATATAATAATACTCACCCATGCCGTCACGTAGAGCACACCTAAAGCCTTGGATAGAGATTGTAACGAGCTCATTAGCCACCCTAAATGAAACCGTGGTTTATTCAATTTCCCTTTCTAACCAATTGTTTACCTCTTGTGACTTGTAAGTTGAATGGCTTTGTTTATGTCTCATGCAACTCTTTGTATACGTGGAAATTGTGGAAAAGCGCGATGTCCTCAAAATAATGAATAATTAGGGCTTATTTTCATATCATGTGATGTTGCTGTATTAAACGTGATTTTGATTTTTTATTCATTTTCAATTACATCATCGATTACTCATAAATTTATTTTTCTTTTTTTTCTTTTCCCCGGATTTCAAAAGTTGAAAACTTCGCGAACTTGTTTGTGTTTTTAAATGCTCCGTTGATCCAAAGAGTCATTGAAGAAATGGAGATTCATTACAACTTGAACTTTGAACTATTGGAAACTGAACTACTATTAGTGGAATATTATTGGTATTATTGGCTCTATAAAAACAAAAGGTATCATGTCCACTGCTATCAAGAATCAGATCGCCAAATGGGCCAAAATCCCTCCAAGAGGTATATCTCTAAAAGAAATGGTTCAAGTTGGTCAACATCCAAGTGAAGAAACTCTTTATAATGCTAGTAAATTCATTGTTAGAGAATTACCAATACGGTTAGCTCATAGAATTGATGAATTAGAAAATTTACCAAATGGTTTAAACAAGATGCAATCTATTGAGAAAGTTAAAGATTGGTATACTCAATCATTTGATGATTTATTACAAATTAGTTCTAAAGAAGATACTGGTGATCCATTTTTGACTGAATTTACAAATTATAATAGAACTGTTACTGATTCATTGAAAAAAATTAAAAAAAGACATGACCCAACAGTAGCAACAATGGCTCAAGGTGTTGTTGAATGGAAAACTTCACAAAATTTAAAACAAATTGATTATTCAATTCAATCTTTTTTAGATAGATTTTATATGTCAAGAATTGGTATTAGGATGCTTATAGGTCAACATATTGCTATAAATGATGAACCTGTTAGAGATAATTATGTTGGTGTCATATGTACCAAGACAAATGTTGGTGAAGTTGCTCGTGATGCTATTGATAATGCAAGATTTATATGTGAAGAATATTATGGATTATATGAAGCTCCTCAAGTTGAATTATATTGTCCTGAAGATTTAACATTTATGTATGTTCCAGGTCATTTAATGCATATGTTATTTGAAGTTTTAAAAAATTCACTTCGAGCTACTGTGGAAACTCAAATGAAAAAAAATAGAGAAAGTCCTTCACCAGTAACTGATTTAAGTGATATTAAATTCCCACCAGTTAAATTGATAATTGCCCAGGGGAATGAAGATATAACAATAAAAGTTAGTGATGAAGGTGGTGGAATTGCAAGAAGTGCAGTCCCATTGGTATGGACTTATTTATATACAACAATGGAAGATACACCAGATCTTGATCCATCATATAATAAGACTGATTTTAGAGCTCCAATGGCTGGGTTTGGTTATGGATTAGCATTAAGTAGATTATACGCTAGATATTTCGGTGGTGATTTAAAATTGATTTCAATGGAAGGTTATGGTACAGATGTTTATTTACATTTGAATAGATTAAGTACCAGTAGTGAACGTTTGCAATAGACATGTGGTGATGATATCATCACAGATTGTATAATATTAGATTTAAATTGCATTTAATGAACAATTATCATGATATCATGATGATTAAAATTGTATTAAAATTGTATATAAACATGAACTTCCCACCTTTTTACATGGGAAAAAGGGACATATTATCTACCTACTTTACTCTTACCTGTTATCAGCACAATCCACATTCATTAATTACCAAATATACCTTAAAATAATCCCAGTAACTTCAAATAAATGTTGGATCATCAAGGTTATATCGATTACATAATCGCTCATATTTTTCGCGAATTCTGATTATCATAGTAAGAAAATTGAAACCCAAAATTAAAATCAATTTCTACTCAAAATTCAAAACAAAAAAACCAGAATCAACAGAGACTCTTTTGCTAGCTATCACATTGCTTTACTGCTCAGTATGTCCAGGCTTTCGGGGACATCGTCGCTTAATAACAGCGGTCCAGGAGGAAGACCCAATCAAAAAATCCAATCGTCACGAGATGAATTGATTCATAACCGGTATAGATTAGATGAACCTCAAGGTGTTTTCCCCTTGGATAATTTCCCAATTTCAGAGTTCAATGGCACTGCTTCTCATCATCAAGGTGGTCACTTCACTATTCAACAACATTCTTCTGCTGGTTCTGGTAGTTCTGGTGGTTTTGGACTTGGTTCTGGTGTCTCCCATAAATATCCTGATTTCCAACCTTGGGAACATAGTCCTCAAGAAGATAATTTAGCTGTTAATCATTTACAAAAAGGATTTTTCGAAACTCCTTACGTTGCTAATGAATTATTATCTGCTAGAAATATCATGCATCAATTATTAAGATCTCAATCTTCATTAGAGGCATTATCTTCAAATTTATTAGAAGCTATTGATGTTAGATCCTCAAATAATAAAATTGGTCCAAGTAGTTACAAACCACCTCCAAGAGTTACATTAACTGATCAAAAAAGAGAAAATTGGTTAAAAGATTTAGCAAATAATGATGTTTCATTAAGGAAACTAGCAAGAACTATACCTCATGGTGTTCGTAATAAAAGTCTTTTGGATCAATGTGTCCTTAAAAGAATTCCAATAAATAGAGCTATATGGTTTGTTCGTTGTGTTGGTACTAATGAATTAAGAGGTCTCAAGAGGAAAGGTGGAGCAAATATAGAATTTAATTGGATCCAAGAATGGACTTTACAAGTTGTTGAATATATTGAAAAATTATCATTAGAATATCTTAAATATGAAAATTGTGCAAATAAAGAAAACAATATTGATATGAAATTATGGAAGGCTAAATTAACTTATATTATAAGATTTACTGCAAATTTATACATGGAACAATTAATTGATAAAGAAACATTTAAGAATTGGATTAGTAGGTTTTTCAAAAATTGTAAAAATTTTGAACTACCATTATCATTAACTATAATTAAGATTTTTTGGATTGATATTTTGAAAACTGATTATTTAATAAAAGAATTAACTGAATCATTATTAATACGATATCATTTAATAAATTCAAATAAACATGTTTTGGATTCAAAAGATTTAAATATAACAGATCAAAAATTAAATGAACAAATTAAAAATAAATTGTTGAAAATTTTACAAAATTTAATCATTGATTCATTTAATCAATCAATTGATAATTTTATATTACCAAATTCTTGGAATCAATTAAAATCAATAATAAAATCAATTATTATCAAATCAAATGATAATAATTATGAAACTTCTAAAAAATTTGATCATATAAGTTATAGAAATGAATCATTAATGATTAATTATTCATTAGATTCCAAAGAGCAAGAAAACACTTTAATTCAAATTTTAGATCAAAATACATTAATTTATGATTTTAAATTAATTATTGAATTAATTTTCAATGAATCTTGGAAAAATAATTTAAAATTATTAATCCACTGGTCAATAACAAAATTTAGAGATGGAATTGAAAGAATTTATTTAATTGTGGAAATTTTTAAAAATTTTAAACAATTTCAAAAATTAATATCACATAAAGATATTGAATCTGAAGTTTTAAATATTATATTCAACTTGAAAAATCATTTAAATATGATTAATTTTGATCAATTATTTTTATTATTAAATGAATTATCATCATCTTCAACAACTAAATTTTTCAAAATTAATATATATGTACGGAAATTAATAAGTTCTGGTTTAACTTATTTGTTGGATAATCAAGATGAAAAGAATTTACATGCATCTATTTTAAAAAATTTAAAAAATGGTATAACTTCACAATCTTTATTAGTTTTGAAAAATTTAGATTCAACATTTGATGAAACTTTTAAATTACAAATTGAAAAAAATTTAGAGTTTGCTAAAAATTTAATTAATAATTCAATTCAAATTGAAGGTGAATTAGATAATAATTCATTAATTTTCATTAAGTCATTACCAATGGGTATAAAATTGAAACTTTCAGATTATATATTGAAAAATTTAGTTGATGATGTAAATTCAAATACAAATTTTTCAATATTATCTAGAATTTTTGATGCTTTGGGAGATTATAGATGTTTTCATAATTATATTTTGAAAATATTGGGGGGAAATACCTTATCATTAGATAATTTAGAATCAATATCAGAATTTATAATCAGTTTTAGCAGGCTAACTGGATTATTTACAAATTTTGATCGTATAACTGAATTATTTATCTTAAATTATAATAGAATTTCAATGAAATATATTGATTTAAATAAATTTTGGAATTTAATGTTGGGAGTTATTAAAGATGATAAATTACAAATTGAAGTTAAACAAATTATTAATAATAATAAAATTTTTAAAGATATTGATACTGATTTCTTACAGAAAACAATATTAGAATCTTCAATTGAAATTGAATTTGAAGATTTTATATCAATTTCAAATTTCCATAATAATTTCCAAGTTTTAATTCGTTTAATTTTCAATGGTGCAAATTCAAATGATTTAATAATAAAAAGATCTATATTAACATTATTGAAATTCTTAAAAAGACAAAATTTTACAGAATTTAATAAAATTTTATTCATATATATTAAAAAAACTTATTCAAATGCAAATGAAATTTTTAGACAAGAACCAATCTTAGATTTAATTGTTTCAGAATTAGTTCCATTAAATCTTGTTGTGGATACTTTTATTAATTTCCAATCAAATATTTATACCACAATTGTTAAAGATTTATTATTTAGAGATTTTTCAGAATTTAAAAATTTTGACTATTTAAAATTCAATTATTTAAGGTTACAATATTTACAAAAAAATCAATCAATTGTTTTAACATTATTTAAAAATTCAATTGAAGATTTTACAGATGTTTTGAATAATAATAATAATAATGTTAAAAATGAAAATATTCAATCAGATTCAACAGATATTTTAAATAATTTCTTATCAGATCATCAACATATTAATAAATCAAATAATTCCAATTATAAAAATGAATTTTTAAATTTTTTTTTACAAAATTTAATATATAATCAAGGTTTAGTTATCAAGATTTTCAATATTGATGAAAATGATGAATATAGATCAAAATTTTTATCAATTTTAAATGATGCATTATTTTCAGAATCTATTACGTTATCAAAATCTACTATTGAAACTGAAGATTTATCAAATTTAATTAAATTAATTTCAAATAATATTAATGATTTAAATTTACCAGTTTTCCAATTATTATTTAAATTGAAAATGGATGTTGTTAAATCAAATCCTCAATTAATTTTAGAATTTTTCAATTCTTTAACAGAAAATATTAAAAATGATGAAGGTTCAATTGGTTCACTTTTTGAATTAGTTGACGATGAAATGAAGAAAAAATTTATTCATTATTTAGAAAATTTATTTTTAACTTCAAAAAAATTCCCACAAATTTCAATTGATGATACTAAAATTCCATTAAATTTAATTTCTGATAATTTAATTAAACTTTCTAAAAAATTTGAAAAAGTTGAATTACCAGATGAATTATTATTTGCTTTGGATAATTCATTAGAATTATTATTAAAAATTGTTAATAAATCAGAATTTACCACTGATTTATATGATTCTTTGGGATTATTTTTAAGAATTATTATAATTCATAAGGCATTTATTATTGATATAATTGTGGAAAGAAATTCCATAAAAGAAACATTTTTAAATAATTTAGTTAATTTATTAACTTCAAAATTTATTTCACAAAATTTACCATTGAAAAATCTTTTATATGATTTATTACTTTCATTTAAATCAAATGTTAATGAAATGAATATTTCAAATAAATCAAATATTGTTAAATTACCAATTTCTTTAATAAATTTACCTGCAATTTCAGAAAATTCTACAATAAATCATGGGAATCAATTTAATTCAAATATTCATGATGAATCAATTATAAATGATTTATATATATATAATAAATCATCCAAAACATATAATGAATTAAATGTTAAAGCATTTGATCTTGTTGAAGATTCTAATCCAGTGGAAAATTTGAATGACACTGCAATAAATTTACAACTATTTGAAACATCAATTGAAAGAAAAAATCCAGCATAATTTATAAAATAAATTGATTTAATATATATATTGTTTAAAGTCTATCTATATCTACTGTAGTTTCAATATCTGTTTGTTTAATATGGGTTTTAATAATTTCATTAATTTGATATCTTAAAGATATTTCATCATCATCAGAACCACCAACCATTTTAATATGAATAAATACCACTAAAAGTTTTGAATGAACTCTAAATATAACAAAATTTTGAATTGAATAATTTGATTTAAATTGATTTAATGATTTAATTTCATCTGAAATCAAATTTGATATGGAATTAAATTGGGATTTAGTACCAGGATAAGTTAATAATAAGATTGAACCTAAATAACTAACAATTTTCCAACCAATATAACAAATTAATATGGATATAAATAAAGTTGAAATTTCATTAATTTTAAAATCAGAATTAATATTAATAACAACGGGGTATAATGATAAATAAATTGTAAATAATAATGTTATGAAATGAGTTGGATTATTTATAAAATTTGTCTTGCTTAAAAATTTAAAATTTTTAATCATATTATTAATATTATCTTTAACAACAATAAAATTTGATGAAATTAATGTAGTTATAGCTGCAAATATTATGAAAAATTCATAAGTGAAAATATTTATATCTAAAGATGATGATTTATGATGATGATTATGACCTGAACTATGATCATGACTAGTTGAGTTATTATCATCAAAAAATGAAATCATAAATTCTTCAATAAAATGACTAATTAAATCACATCCAACAAAGATTAATGATATTGATAAGGCAAATCCAGCAAGAACTTCAATTCTCCCCAAACCAAAGGGATATTTCATGGAACTTTTACTCCATACATCAAAATTTGTCATTATATCAACGAAAACCACTGTAAGACTTCCTAATGAATCATAAAAAATTAAATGACTTAAAGTGGAAAATGAAGTTAATGAATATTTAAATCCAACCAGGAATATAATTAATGAAGTTAATAAATGAGCAAATGACCATATTAATTTTTGCTTTTGTTGTTGATTACAACTATTGAAAAATTCATTAATAGTTGGTATTGGGAATGAAATTGCAATTTTCAAAGGTGCTCTAGCTTTAGGTTCTTGGAAAAAATTCATTGAAACTGAAGAATGTTTATATCTATGACCTTTTCTATGAGAAGCTCTTGCATTGTTAACTGAAGAAGGTGTTGATAAATTTGTTGATCTAAAATTAAAAGGTTGATATTTCTTTGGTGAAGGTGAACGACTTCTGATTGGAGATGATGATCTAGTTGGAGATCTATTGCGAGGTGGTACTGGTGGTGGTGGAACATATTTTAAGCTAGAAATTGAAGAACGATTACCTGGAACGTTTCCACCAGGTATTAAAAATGATGAAGATGAGTTATTATCCAAACTATAAAGTGAAGTTCTATTACCAGCTTGTGAAAAAGAACCTGATGAATTATGTCCTGGTGAAAAATTCAAACTATTTCTTTTATTATGATTACCAGTAAATTGAGCATTTGGAGGCATCATTATATCTGAAAGACTTGGTGATCCTAATGTATCTGGTTCTTCTAATTCTGATATCTTAATCATTGGCGATTGTGTTGGTGTACTAAATTGATCATACCGGGATCTTGGTGTATCCTTTGGCGTGGCAGGTGCCTGCAGCACAGGTTTATTATCGAATGGATTTGATCCTCCTTCTGACATTCCCCAGGATTTTTATTTGCTTCAAATTCTTTGTGTATCCAATTCTTTTGTAATTTACTAGGAAATGTGACAAGTTTCATGACAAGTACAATTCATCGAGAATGTAAACAAAATCAAAAAAATTACTGACGTAATTTATTAGTCATCTTACAATGCATAAAGGGAAAAGCACCAATTTTTAAAACTTCCGAAAAAGGCGACTTGGCCGAGTGGTTAAGGCGAAAGATTAGAAATCTTTTGGGTTTACCCGCGCAGGTTCGAATCCTGCAGTTGTCGTCATTTTTTTTGCAATTTTTTTACCCGGCCGAACTATGCAATCTTTGAAATAAATTAAATATAAAGTGGTACAATATCATGTTGATTTTTTTAGAAAGGCATTTGCAGAATAATTAGACGTTTCAGTTGACGGTGATTATTTTTTCATTAATAGAATTAGTCATGATGTTAATAATTATAATGAATGAAAGTTCCATACGTGATTATGTAATAATAATATCGGCCTCAGTTAAGTAGTAATATTAAATTGTATATAAAACATGAATTTTGGCTGTTATTCATTATTTGAAAGTATTTTTTATTGATGTCAAGAGTAAGAGAATATTACACGGTATATTAGAAGCAATTTAAACTATAGTTTGATTTAATAATAATATATATATAATATATATTTTTGGAATTTTTTTGAATACACATTAATTTGAAACTAAATTTCAAGGATCCAATGTTGATAATTTTGTTGAAAACGTCTAAAAATTTGTAAAATTTTTTTTTGTCCTTAAATACAGAATGAAGTTAATATTAATAAAATAGAGACTTTGATATTTATTAATTATATTTTAATCTATGATTAAAGTAAAGTTTTGATGTTTTATGAATATTTAGCTGATTTTATTAACTCTCGGCCGAAAAACCGAAATAGACACCATTAACGA